TCCCGGTTTGTGGTTCAACCCGAAACAGTGGTGGAAACCAGCACTCTGCATGGGTGGTCTCCAGTGGATGGTGGAACACATGTCCAAGTGTAGGAATATGTTGTTTCTTTAGCCAGTGGAGACCAGGCAGGAATCCTCTTCCTCTCTATCTCTCTGGAGAGACCAGGCCTTCCTCTTCCTCTCTGTGCGTCGACAGGTCGCTCCAAAAGTACAATGAAGGAAACATATTCCAATGCACTGTGGGCTGGAAGAGCATTCCAGAAAAAAAAAACACGCATTGGATTTATTCGTGAGCAAGGAGTAGGCAAATGCTGGTAACCCGTTGTGGAGGACACGTTGACAAAGGACCGGAGAGAGCGAGCATGACGCAGGTACAGAGTCTGGACTTTGATTTTGTGTTGCGGCAGGGCCAAGCAAGTCAAGGTGCAGCGTAGGCACACATCAAAGCCCCTGTGCGTGCCCACTTGTCCTCAGCCCGGCACCAATACTCATATTTTGGGTAGCTCGAATTTTGCCAGACGCTCCTTGATGCATTAATTTTGCAGCAACGGTCAACTTGCTGGGTGGACCACCCGCTTCTTTTGGTGGACAACAAAGGTCATGCACCACACCTGGCAGTTTCAATTTGTAGGCTCTGGCTGACTCCGTGTGGAAAACAACTTTGCGGTTGGTTGGCCGTTTTGGGCAAGAGGGGTCCATTCGTGCACGAAGAACAGCCAAGGAAGGTTTCAAAACGGCTCAGCACAAGATGTTAATGTTGCGGTTTGCCGCGGACAGCGGTCTACAGAGATCTGAGATATCTCTTGTCTCAAAAGTAGCTTTCAGCACCTTCAGCGTCAGCCTGATTCATACGCACCAAAGATGATGTCCCGCTCCTTTTGCAAGACATGATTCTTAATTACGGGCCTCCAGTTGCTTCAGCATAGTCTCAATGACTTTGCGGTCGATGCCAAGGATCAATGAGGTGGATGGAGGCCAGTAATACACATGGAAGCAGGAGCAAAAGGGTGGAACTTGGAGAGACAGCGCCTCAGGACGGCCTGCAAGGCGGGAGGCAATGATTGAGGGTGCACTCTTAGGCACGCAGGCGATCCACACACTGGGGCACATTGAGCCCGTGCCGAAGTGGCAACATGGTCCAGGAGTTGCCTTGTCTCACAGAGCCACGTAGGTTCTAAGGCCCGGCCCTCAGAATGCACAATTTCCATCATGTCATGGACCGAGATGACTAAGTGACTAAGGAGCCAATTGCTTACACGGTGTGCCACAAAGGAGCCGAGCAAGGAACCACTGCTCCACCACTTCACCACTCCACACACAACAGGTTGCTAGAAGGCTGTCAGTTGTAATCCAAGAACCTTCTACAGCTTTGAGCTTGCCTGGCTGCCAAAATTACATTGCTGCCTACTTGGCCTCGGTTGGAGGCTGTGCATAGCTGTCTATGTGGCTGCCGGGCTTCCCACCTTACATCACGTGCTGTTGTGCAGTTAGCAGTGTCGCTGGTGCCTCACCTTTGTCATCAACACCAAACCATGGATCAAATCATTTCCTGTAGGTTGGAGGCCATCGCTATTCATCCCTTCAAATCTGTTCCCTCAACGGATCCCATCCGCACCCATTCGACCATGGGCCACCGCACACAGGATCGCCGAATGCTCAGCCGGGAACCTCCGCTGCGCAGCGGCCAGGCGAGCTGCGCGCGCCTGGGGGGGCAGTCAGGGGGCAGTGGGCTGGGAGAGGTCCATGGTGATCCGAAACAAGTAAGATGAAACTAGATTACATATAATTAAATATATACCTATATATATATATATACCTATATAGTCTCTTGGGTGCAGCAAAACAAACAAAGAGCCACGGCACAAAACCTCCTATGGTGAGCTGTAGTTGTTGTTTCCACTTCTACTCAGTCTTGTTTTGCCACATGGGGATGGGTCAAAACCTGGAGTTCCCACACTGTAGTTTGACGTTCCAAATTGGTCAACCGAGGCATCCTGGTTTTGATCCACATAATTGGTGCCCTTTGGCATCCAGTGAGTGAAGGCTTGAAAAACATCTCTTCTTAGCCGACGCACGGACATGCGGCCGCACGTAGGCGTATGACATGCGGCCTGTTTGAGCCTCCAAGTCTTGGGGTGACAAGGGAGATCCGAGCAGTGGCGCGGCTGGCGCGGTGATCCGAGCAGTTGACCACTGCCCCTCGGTGATCCGAATGCAAAGACCCATCTTTGTGCCCAAAAGCGCTCCAGTTGTACCTCGCAATCTTTCACCCCAGTTCCATCTTCTCAAAAGGTGGAGCCTAGGCAGCACGCGGTTTCCAAACATCCTCGCCCTAGAAGACTTCTCCTATCTCCTCCGATGAATCCGATGACTGGATTCTGACTCATCTGTGCGACGACGATGATGACACCCGCCAGCTCTTGCAGTTGAAGATGTTGATACGGCGCCACAATCATGGGTGGTTTCGACGAACTGTCAAATGCATCCATGGAACAGATTTACCCCTGGGCTGAGCGGTCCTTGTTGATGATGATGATGAGGAGGAGGAGGAGGATGATGATGAGGAGGGGGATGGTGATCAGTGATGGTGCAGTGATGAGGATGGTGATATTTGTCAATTAGCAACAAAACCTATTCCGTGATCGGTTCCGTTTCATCCGTTTCGTGGACCGCAGGAGTCGTCCGTGCCTCAGAGTGGACAGATAGATCGATTCCGTCGGGTTTGGAGCTCCCAAGGAACCCGGGGACACTGAAACCTGTTCACACCAAAAAGAAACTTGCGGAGTATCCAACCGCGGCAGAAAAGAAACCAGTATCATAGTGGTATGCGAGGTAGGACGCAAAATGAGAAAGATTCTATGGAAAAGGACATCGTATTTAAACAAAAACACTCTTCCCCAGAAGGTAAATAATGCAGAACATGAACACACAACCAATCGACCAACCCGATCGACAATGACCTCGGTCGCTCCTTTGGACTTCATAGGCATGGCATGTTTCCACTTAGAAAGGAGATCAGCAGCGGTGCACATTCGACACACAGAATTACAGTGCTGTGCTTGATGGCACCGTGCTTGATGGCAAAGTGAACGTTTGTTCACCGGGCGACAGAGGATAGCCGTCCTGTGAGACGACCTCAATGCTATTCCACTGTCAAGAAGCTCCTAGTTACTTGTTGATGAGCAACCAACAACTTGTAATGTGCCACAATTAAACAATAGCAAATGTCAACTTTGAAGCTGATTCTGGATCCATCTACCTGCACCGCCACCCACCAAACAACAAAACACACCAAAACCGTGACATCTCATCTATCTAAGACCATCTAAGACCATTTCTTCGAAACCAACGCCCGTCCTGTCCGTTCGCTCGCCTGGCGAATGGCCCGCACCGAGTCGCAGACGCTGGACCTCGGTCCGCCAAGGACAGTGCGGTGAATTCCCAGGGGGTCTGGGGCTGGAGGTGGTTCTTGGAAGGTGGTGCTTAGAGGTTTTGCTTGGCCCTGTGCTTTGGTTTTTGGAGTGGAAGTAGGGTGTTGATGAATCAAGACCCCTAAGTAAAATGCCATCATCATCCTTATGATAACATCCTTATCAGGGTGAACATCAACAACCATCATCTCCATGTGGGGCGTTTATGAATATACATTAGCATGATTGCTGACGGAAGAGATCTTTGGCCGAAAGACCTGGTAATTGGGACCCAAAGCAAGTTTCGGACCCAAACATACCGAAACTGGTTCCAGCATGTTCTACTTCCACCACTGGTTGAACCACCCAGGTCGCCAAGGCGCGGTACCCCGACAGAGGTGGCGAAGAGCAGGGACTCTAAAGGATCCACCGGAGCAGAGCCTGGACGGACACCGCAGTGACTTGTTGCTCCAAGTCAGCATCGTTTGGGGCGATGAGTTCTTGGGACTGAACATTGTACCACACGAGTTTTGCTGGCATGTTGTTCTTGCTGGCATGACTGGCATGTGTCATTTTGTTGCTGCACTGCTTCACATGTTTTTTTTTCCTTTTTAGATGCGGGGTCTTCTAATTCATACCAATCTTCGAATCAACTTCATCTAGGAAACAAATCGTGGTCACTGACCTCTATGAGCTTGACAGAAAACAAAAAGTGCCAAAGCTTGACAGGTTTGGTCTGGTGGTAATCAGTAACGCAGCATCTGTCGTTTTATGACAAGCTTCCGGACTTCCTGACAAACCTGCTCCTCAAAGAGCATCTTGTTCAATTCCAACTCCAACCGAATGTTAAAGCACCTCTGGCCCAAAGAACTGGTCCAATGCTGCTCATCAAGCCTTCTGCTCCAAAAATAATCCTACCGTATCCTACCCAAGCTTCCCAGTTGTGACATCCTCATGTTTGCTATCAACCTGTTTTGAGAAAACAAACCTCAACATGTTATTGTTTTCAGTGTGAGATGTGGCCTTTGAAGGAGGGGGGCTCCAAGATTTGGGTGTGTATCAAAATAGGGAGATCTCCCAAAGACGCCCTGGAAGAAAACGACATAGACCAACAAAAATCCATTGGTTGGGGGGTCTCCCTATTAGAATACACACCCCTACACCCATTTGTTGGAGAGGATAGGGTTGTATGTTGATCAAGATATGCTCACTCCGTGTCCCTGATTTTGACACTTCTCCATTTTTGGTTGCTGCTCGCTGATTGGAGGTGGTTTTACTTGCAACTTCTCAGGCGGCACCCCAAATTGCCGCACCCACCCCGGTGTTTTGGCACTACCGGGGCAGGACTGCTGATGAGCTTCTCCCTATTGTTGCGAACATTGAAGGGCTGTGCTAACCCGGACACCCTGGTAGGTTGACCATGTCTGGTGTGCCATGACATCCATGACCCATCGCCGCCATAGCCATGTTGCTTGACCAAACACGCTGGGCACCAGTCGACCTAGTTCAACATCTTCGACTTAGCAACCCAACTAAAACACCTCACCCCAGTCATCTATAGGACCCATCCCCCCCTCCACGAGTTCCGGACCGTCCCCACGCCACACCCATCCTTTTGGACCGTCCGGAGCGCGTCCTGGACCCGTCCCTCGCGTCCGGTCGCCGTCGGGACGGCTCAGCTGATTTGGACAGAGCCCAAAAGGCTCGCGCTACGGTCCTGCGTCGCCAGCAGCGACGTGCGAAGCCCCAGTTCCTCGGAGAGGATGGAACCGCAGGATGAACCCAGCTGCGGTTGGGTGGTGTGGTTTGGGTGGATGATGTATACATGCTGGTGTGTGCTTTCAAGAAAGGAGCCAATTGGTGATTGAGGCCTTGGCAAGGCAACTCCTCTCATACACAAACACTTGCACAAACACTTTCAGAAGATTCTTGGTGTTCTGTTGATCTTTAGATATCTTTATAGGTTCCACAGGGCTGGGCGCCTGTTGTGGGAACGGTTGGCTCCACGAGACGGTGCTGGTCTGACCACCTAGAGCCTAGAACCCCGTACATATTCCACCTGGATCACAGGGTGAAGGTCTTTTGTCCCAACAACATCCACACGATCCACACGCAGCTCATCCACGGCCGGGCGCGTGTTTTTTCCCATCCTGAGACCCAGACTGGAGGGCGACTCAATCCATGCTCAGGAAGGTAGAGGAAGACCACCAGTGCAACCAGTGCAAGCAAACAGTTGACGTAGTAAAAGTACCTGCAAGCCACGTGGTCTTTAGGTGGAGGCCTTTTGCTAGTAACGACCGTTGGAATCCAGCGGTGACATCCGCGGTGACATCCATTCTTTCACGACCGCGGAAGAAACCACGGCCGTCCGCTTTTGTGAAACGTCCACAGGTTTGGGTCCTTCAAGGGTTGATGATCTCCCAAAACCTGGAGGAAGTCTGAAGGATGCTGTAGCTATAGGTCTTCTCCGGTGCGTGTGTCGCTCCTACCTTGTGTCGCTGTGAACGCTGCTGAGCCATGTCTTCTTGGCTTCTCAGTCGGCCCAGTGGGTGGGTCTGGACATCTTCATTCCAAGACTCCAATGTCATTCAAACATCTTTGCATGAAATGAACGTCTAACTATTTGCATGACATGTCATTCCAAAGATTCCAAGAACTCTTGACATGATCTTTGTGGCCCCGGCGGCGGCATTTAAAAAAAAACAGGTCGCCCCCGTGGCGTTTCAGGCGAAAAGCGAGGAAGGCGACGGTTTTCTGCCCCCTCTTATCATCGATGATCTACCTACCTAATCATTATATAATGCAAGGTCCTATTTTAGGAGCATGATAGTTTCTGAACCAACCCCAAGTGCCAGGAACTTCAAACTGACCTCTTTGGAGTCTCCAAGTCTCTAAGTAAACCTTTCGAGCCTAGGTGACATCCTCAGATCTCAAAAGGTCACCTAGAAGCTCCTCGTGCTTCTTGCTCGTGAAAAATAAGAACAACACCGCTGAGATTCTAGGCCTCTGAGAGCCAGTTCTTCTGCCCATCTTCTCGACGTTGGGTTCCCGCCCAGCGACACCAAGAGCTGCAGCCCAGCGACACCAAGTGCCCTTCGTTGAGGTTCTCTGGGACCAAAGGGCTCAGGGCCGCCGTCATGGCATTGCTGATGGATCCTGCAGCGCGGGTGGAGGTGTAGAGGTGTGGAGTGGGTTTGGAGTGGGTTTGGAGTGAGTGATAGGCTCTGGTTTGGCTCAAATGACCGTGAGGTGCGTCACGGATATGTGTGCAAGATGCCACGCCTTCGCCCTCCGGATCACCCTGTGAGTCCCTGTCGGTACCAAAAAAACACTCCAAAGTATGGAACATGGGTACATAAATCGAGCCTTTTTCAGGCAGCTACGCCTATACTATATAATCCTCTTTACACCTGCCCTTTGCAGGTGATTTCAAGGATGCAGGTATGTCTGCTCTCTTTCTTCCATACCTGGCCCTGACATCTGTGCTGGCCCGGTGAATGGTGCAAGCGCGGGCAACGGTCCCATGCCTGCGGCCACCAAATTGAGGGCCTGTAAGATGGAACGGAGCCTCCGCTCAGCCGGATCTGCTGCGGATGAGGAACTCGGAACATGGACGCCGTCATGTTTTTGGCTTTGGTAAGGGCCTTGGAACATTTAAACACGAATTTAGGAGCCCTTCTCCAGAGTGCTTCCAGGATGTCAGTGTTGCAACAACAAACATACAAAACCAACGGAAGGAAGAGGATGATTCTTGCAGCTCCCGCTCCAGGTTTCTATACCGGTCTTGCCGAGGAGCGGTGGAGGTGCCTCCTCAAAGACGTATTGGTACACCACTGGGTTGACTAAAATCTCACCGGCCTCAAATACAGCAGTGTGTTTGGCCTAGTAGCCACTAGTAAGAAGAAGCTACTCGGTTGGAGGCCATCGCTATTAGGTTGGATGTAGTAACGAGACCTGAAACCAAAGGCAGGACGAAGAGCTTTAGTGATCGGTGGTGCCTCGTATATCGCTGGCTGAACGAGGAAATATCAGCAACTTGACAAGACCAACTAAGCATTTGTGAGCCCTAAAAGGATCGTCAACCGTACTGCCAGCTTTACCACTGATCAGCATGACAACCTGATAAGAAAACTGCTTGCTGTACTTTTCCAACAAGTTAGTTCAAGCTCGACGTGGATGACGTGGTCAACGGCTCAACCCCCCTTTTCGTATAACTGAGTAGGAACAGCCTGAACTTCGTGGCAAAGACATACTTCAGCAAGTAAACATGTTAACTGTCAGAGTCTTCACATCTATCCATTCGAGGCTTCTTGCATTGCTCCCTTTACACTCTGATTTGTGTTTGCTGGTGGTCTCTTGTTGAAACACCCCAAACCAGGAAACGCACCACTAATACAAAACAACAACCCCTGTGTTGATTTTGTGCCGTATGCCGCCTGTATGCACCTTTCCCCAGTCTGACCGACCGAGGCGCACCAGTCAGGAACATGGGGATCGCCATCCAAAATGCAGACCTCGCACTTGTGAGACTCAGCCAGCGCCCGGGGCCGAATGGAGCGAATTTTGGCGCTGAAGAACATGATTCGAAAGAGTGTTCGCGCATTCTCCTCCAATAATCAGGCTTCTCAACATAATCGTTCTCCTCATTTGCTCTTACTAGATTTCTTGAAAAAGACTTATTTGCAGCCATCGCTGCTCTCAAAGCATTGTGGAGGGTAAGTGAGCCATGCCGAAGCTTCCAAAGGTTGTGAGGCAGCCAATCTGGACTTTTGTGCAGGTCTGTGAGTATCTGGCCACGTTAGGCTTGGTCAGAACAAAGGATGGTTGCGAGATCTTTGGCAGAAGCCTTGGGGCTGGATTCTTACAAGGTGGCGGATTGCACATCCAATCCTTCGACTGTCGAGTCCTGTTCTTCAACTAGAATTGGTTTGTTCCACTTCCTGTCATGTGATCAGGGCTAGATCCGCTAGATCCCAAGTTCAATTGGGATAAATATATATATATATTAATTACTTATATTAAATATTATATAAATAATATGCATAAATAATCTTTGATTGCTCGTGTCTTCTGATCCCTCCACAGACTCCACAGACCCAATCCCAGGAATATATGAGGAACAGAATGTCCATACAGAAGATGGACTCAAAGAACTCATTGCTTGTATGGGTGCAGTGCGCGCAGGAGGCTTATGCTATTTATCGCCAACTTGTAGTTCATGGGTGTGGTTGTCCAGAGGAACCACCTTACGTGGCATTGTCCTTTGGCATGCTGAGAGCAACATTGATATTAAAAGTTGTCTGTTTTGGTTTGGTGGGGGGGGTTAGGTGTGGTTGTTCCTTTTCTACTCCCCTTCAACTTGTCCAGCCCCAGGAATTGCATGGAGCAGGATGGGTACGCTCTGTAGTCGCAGGCAATGCGACAGCGCAGCTGATTTGTGACATCATCTTGCCCCTTGCGGAGTTCTTGCAATTGGAGGTTATCATGGAGCAGCCGTCTTTGTCGCTGCTGTGGAAATGGCCAGGACTCCAAAATTCACATGTTTTGAATGTCCACAAAGTCACAATTAGGTTGGGTTGTTTTGGAGGGTTATCCGAGAAACCCTTGTCTCTGCGTGGGAACTCCAAAGCCTTATTGCTAGTGTCAGAGATCAATCATGAGCTCAAGAAGATGTTTGCGCAAAGTGGCATTGTTCGGGACTACACAAAGCTGACAAGCAAAGGGAAACGGCGCCTTGTTTCTATTTACGACATAGCTTTTGTAAGCCTTCTGTCTTTTTATCCTCAAACACGGTTTCATGTGTGCTTTTCACGGTTAAAGATCGTCAATCAGTGCAGGTGGTCTTCAGGCAATGAGTACACTCAGATTTCCTGCCTGTATCCTCTTCACTTTGGCGTGGCTCTGGGTGCAGCGGTCAAGATCTCGAAAGTGAAAGGACTTACCGAGAATGAGAGGGTGTGCATGGCTTGGATTGCTGCCAAGGACATGTTCTCTGACATCCCGTCTGTGGAGAAGGCATTGGAGGATGCCAACCTCCTCTTGGACTGTCGTGCTGAAATGCCAAGTGTTTCAGTCAAAAAGAGTATGACTCAATCAACTATTAATTGTCTTTGTTATGAACTAGTGACTAGTGTTGTGATGTCTTGAAGCTTGGCAAACTGGATCAAATCCAGGACCAATGCCGAAGTTGTGGCACTAGTTGTGGCCAGCAGAAGCCCTCTTTCGACGAAGATCCTGGGTGGCCTGGAATGGAGTCGATGATGGCCCCTCGCATGCCACTGCAGTTGGTGCGCTCTATGCTTGCAAAGAAGCGCGTGGGAGAGCAGCAGGAAGGCAAGGGCAAGTCCAAGCAAAAGCAGCTACCTGTGAGGAGGACTTGCAAGAAGTCTACTGAGGCAGCGGCTGGCAGGACTAGGGAAACCAAGGCTAAGACCACCATCCGCGACTTCATGACTGAAGCTGAATGGACAAGGTCCGCGGCTCAATCGCCCCAGTTTCGGTCTATAATTTATACTTATACCTAGATCTTCAGTCCGGCACTTTTACAGGGTCCGGCGCCGGA